CGATCCGATATTCATATCGGGTATCGGCTCCGATAGTGCCATTTTTCTCGGATCGGGTATCGGTCAGAGAGGGACGATCTAAATCCGAGATTTTTATTTTTTTTTCCCCGATTGTGCGAATTATTCTGTGTTACTTCTGAAGCCATATGATAGCTTAATCCTTTAACGCGTAATATCACACCAGTGTGATTAGAACTTTCAGTGTGTCATGTCATCAACTGCTGAATTCAAATCTGCTTTCACGCTTTGGCTGGCGCGGAGCCAGATTGGACGCGCTGAGCGCTTGTCATATTATCACAAATATTCAGTGTTTTCAACCATATAATGCTTATTTTAGGTTTGGCGTTTGGTATCGGGGCATTTTAACGAGTACGAGTACAGGAGACCATTATTGGGCCCGATACCAGTATCGGTATCGTTGCATCCCTACTATAAAAAATCTAAACGACGGTGGGGGTCGGTGACACGGTGGGCAAGTGACGTAACCGGTGTTGCGGCTTCATCGTCAACGTCTATCGCGGCAAGCCTAATGACCACCCATGTTGTCAGCTTAAGCATAATTGGTCACACTCAGTGGTAGTAAGTAATGTTGGTTCTAGTATGTCAGTGTGCCAAAAACGTACAGTGTTGATAACAGATGCTGCAGGTGCACATTTTTTCAAATGGTGTTTTTCAAACATTATTTTAACATTTTCATTTTTGTTTACCCTAGGTCAGTTTTACGTGATGATGAGTCCACCAGATGTTTTACAGACTGGAACACCACGGACCATTGCCCCTCGTACACACACTTACTCTATGTAAGTATGATCATGGATCAACATCCCTCATTTTTCCCTGTCTGCACGGCCCAGTCCAAACTTTCAATCTAGTGCTATGTACATAATGAGTTGATCCCTTCACGTTCCCCCAAATGAATTTCAGTTTGCAGAACAACGAGAATGGAATTTCAAATCAAATCCTGACGAATTTTCCCTCAAAACGCCTCAAATTGAGTGTGGAATTAATTTAAAAATGCAATGATTTCACATACAAATATGCAAAGTATTTTCCAATCAGTTTAAGTGCAGTCAGAAAAACAACCAAAAAAAAATGTGTCCCACTTGCCTGCTATCCCCAGAGACCTTGGTGAACGTGAGACTCTTCAACACAGCAGATCAGACTGGTGAGGAAGACCTTTTACATCCCCACCCCCTTTCAGCTGCCAGCCTGTCCTTCTCTAGATGCTGCCGCTGTTGAGCAGCTGGCTTTTAAAGGAATAGTTCACCCAAAAATGACATTTTGCTGAAAATTTACTCGCCCTCATGCCATCCAAAATGTAGATGAGTTGGTTTCTTCATCAAAACAGATTTGGAGAAATTCAGCATTAATTCTCTTGCTCAACAATGGATCCTCTGCAGTGAATGTGTGCAGTCAGAATGAGAGTCCAAACAGCTCATAAAAACATCACAGTAATCCACACAACTTCAGTCCATCAATTTTAACGTCTTGTGAAGACTTTTCACTGGAGGAAGCATTATTATGGATTGTGGACTCGTATTGATGGATTTGTTTCTTACAAACATGCAGCTTTTCACTTCACAGTATGTTAATTGATGGACTGGAGTTGTGAATTACTTGTGGATTATTGTGATTTTTTTTTTTTATCAGCTGTTTAAACTCTGATTCTGATGGCACCCATTCACTGCAGAGGATTCATTGGTGAACAAGTGATGTAATGCTAAATTTCTTCAAATATGTTCCAATTCTCCTCTACATCTTGGATGGCCTGAGGGTGAGTACATTTTCAGCTAAATTTCATTTTTGGGTGAACTATTCCTTTAATTCAGTACTGTATAAATATTACAGATGTATTTGCTAGTGTTTGAGTTTTCTTCATATTCGGAAGACATCAGTTGAATCAATTCTAGCCTCTAAAAACCGAAATGAAGAAAAATCAAAGGGTTACATGTTTCTTTCAGGCTTATTACTTGTTTATCCAGATTTAAGCACATCTTTGGGTAGATTCAGTACTGAACTGTTGTTATATCAGTAAACGGGCTGGAGAAATGTTTGTTTTCAAATAGGCTTTAGCTGTGTTGTGTCCTGCAGATTCATTTGGTGGTTTTGGTAGTTTAATAGTGCAGTAGAGCAAGCTCACATAAGTCTCCTATTTTTCTCTTCTCTCTCTCTACTTGCACAGGAAAATTGATGGCCCCCGGGCACCTCGTGATGAGAGAAGGAGAGCACAGCACAATGAAGGTGAACTAATGCATGTCTTAGAGCTTAGAATATGTACAGTTTCAGTGGAAGCAAGAACATCTGTACAAAGCAGTTACATGATCAATGTCCCAAATTTAGCTGATGTAAAAAATAAACATGAATTTTAAACATTTTCTGAATATTTAGTTTATTACAGTATATATATTTTTCCTTTGGATTACTTTTTAGTCAACATGAAACTACAAATCTAGGAGAAAACGTAGAGCTGGAATTGTATCCATCAGGAATGGATTGAATTGTAATGTGGAGTTACAAAAGAAATGTAACGCTTTAATAAAACATTCTAAATACAAATATTTATTTTCTTTCAAATAGCATATACCGATAAGTTGTTTACAGTTAAAATCAGGAACGTACATCAGGGAGAGTAAATGGGATCAATTTGGATTTCATATTGACTTATTGGAAGTAATTCAGTGTATAGAGTAAAAGTAGATCAGTTTGGACTGTTGCTAAATGGTTTTATTGGTGTTTCTGCAGTGGAAAGGAGAAGAAGAGACAAAATCAACAACTGGATTGTCACACTGTCTAAAATCATCCCAGACTGCAATATGGACAGTACCAAAACAGGAGCAGTAAGTACTAGCACCAGATCATTTCTTCTTTGGACCTATTGTACCTCTTTACACCTGAGTCCATGTTAATGGACTGCTTGTTGTCGTCTCTAGAGTAAAGGAGGCATCCTGTCTAAAGCATGCGACTACATTAGAGAACTCCGACAGACTAACCAGAGGCTGCAGGAGAGCTACAAGGAGGTGGAGAGAATACAAGTGGACAATGAGCTACTAAGACAACAGGTATTTTTGTTGGTGGGAGTTGTTTATGTAAAATGTACAGTGGGATCTCAAAGTCAGATTACTAGTTAAGATGCTCCTTTTTGCTTCAAATTAAAAAAAATGTAATTGCAGATATAAATAATACAAGTGCTGGTTGAATAGAAAAATTTACTTTAGGTAGTGTGTCGCCCTTTTTGCTTTAATGGCAGCAACACTGGAGCTGCATGAACTCCATACGTTTATATAGAACTTCATGATCATTAAGACCCAATGACATCGCTTATGCATCTTTTCTTTTTTTTTTCTATTTGAATTTTTCTGGATTCTATTTTTAATTGGTTTAATTAAATTTTGATAATCAAAAAGGATGTCTAATCAGATGCGTTTATAAAAATGTTAAATTATAATAATTTAAAACTTTAAAATGTAACAATAGCGTCTTATGAATAGTGTTTTATTTTTTCAAGAAATTCTGTTTCAGTTTTTCTGGGTTCTGCGTTTTATTTATTTATTTGTACAGTAGTACATTCATTCATCTTTAATAATTAAACTAATCTTTTAAAATGTAATCAAATGCCTTGTCAACAGTTCCTTTCAGTTTTTCAGAAACGGTAAACAAGAGGTTTACAGTTTCAATTAAAAAATGGATGACAAATTGTGATATTGTGTGATATTCTTTCAAAAATAATGCCTTAATGTATCCTTAAGTAAAATAAATAAAATCCTAAATGGTAAATTTATGAGATCTGTGGTGTTTTGCTTACCAAGTCCGACTGGGCAAATGGTAATATGTTGGATGTCCATTGCCCTGCAGATCGAAGACCTGAAGAATGACAATGCACTGCTCAGAGCTCAACTACAACAACACGGCCTGGAAATAAGTGAAACTACATCACAGTGACAAAAAACAACAACAACAAAAAAACATTCTCACGAATAAAAAATTGAAAGTGACGTGACACAGTCTCAAGTGGAGAAATAAACCCTCAATGACTCGCTCGCTCGCGCCTCATCAAAGACTTAACTGTTTTGCAACTCAAGTAGGGTATGAATGCTTATCTGATGCACAGACACACATCCTTCTGACAAGAGACTCTCTGACCGTTTTGAAAATAACATCTGCTGTAAGCACATTTTGTTTTCTCCTTCACCCCCGTGAGAACTCAACAACTTGGACTCAGTTGATATGGAATAACCCTCTTCTTCCAGAAGTATCCCGCTTGCCACAGGTTTATGTCTTTAGTTTCAATCCAGTTATTTGCCTGCTCATGCCTAATGCTCATCTTTTGTTGTGTTTGAAACATTTTGTGGATTTTATTTTTGCTACATCGTGCAAATGTTACTACTGTCTCATAACATGAAGGTCTTTTTTCGAGGGTTCTTCGGTATTGCATTTATTAGCTTTCAAGAAATTGCGCAGCAGCAGGTATACAAAACATTTGGCTGATGTTTTGAATTTGATTTCGTTTTTCTGTCCTGCAGTTCTTCCATATATCAGACTTTGTGAAATACATTCATCAGGCTGATCAAAGACTTGACATCGTGGCACATCAAGACTAATTTACAGTATACATTTGCTTAGAATGTAAATTAAAGTGCATGGAGTATGTTTTCATTTAAAATGGAGACTTACGATATTTAAAACTGCATTACCTATAAATTTCAGTTTTCAGAGTCCATTATATTTAATGCACTGTGATTTTAGTGAAGGATGAACGAGTAGCTCAGGGTTTTGAGGTGCAGGAAAATAGCAGAGGCTCTGGAAAACCCCACTAACCTTGTAACCCTGCACTTTTTGCCCTATGGCTTTAACATACTAGATTCAAACATGTACTGTATATATCATGTATTTCAACCAGTTGTTCTTACGTCATAAATTAATTCAAAGAAATGTACTTTATAAGCCCTAATTCCCAGGCTCATTTATCTATGGCAAATAAAATGGAAGATGCACAATAGAAACCGATAGAATTGCTACTGCTAGTAGTGTTCTGTCTTATTTTGTTGTAGCTTATCTTCCATCTTATTTTGTAACAGTCCTAATTTAGGTCGTTGGTTTAGACATTGATCAACAACAAAATTCTGAACAATAAAATTGGAGATTAGATTTAAAAATCAAACTCCATTCAATTATAAGAGCATGAGCATTAATACCTGATGGCAATGAGAGTTATTGTTAATGAGCTATGCATAAGGAAACCAATTCTTTTAGGCCCGGTTTCACAGACAGGGCTTAGACTAAACCAGGATTAGGCCATTGTTCAATTAGGAGATTTAAGTAATTTTTATTAACATGCCTTAGAAAAAACATTACTGGTGTGCATCTTGAGACAAAACAAAGGCACTGATATATTTTAAGATCAGTCAGTGCAAGTTTCTTTCAGTTGAAACAGCTCAGATTTACACTTTAGTCTGGGACTAGGCTTAAGCCTTGTCTGTGAAACTGGGGGTTAGTGTTTACCAGTTTATCTCCTAGGTTTTAAAGCCAGTAGACCTAAGTCTGGGAATGAAAATGAGGCTGTGAGGATAGAAGTACAGTGCGTTCAATGGATTGTGTTGTTCTTTAACATATTGATTGTTCAGCTGACAAAACGTCTTGTTGAAACAAAAATTCAGTAGACAAAAACTCCATAAATCAGGTTTGAAAGTTGTGAAAATTATGTGATCTAGGACCTTTATACAGTGCCATTACAAAGACTAAGTCTATCTCTCAGAGCCTTGTTTTCATTCATGTTCAATTCAATATGGCGCCTAACCTGATGAAGGTCTATCCAGGCCTGTGTTTTCATCAGATTATAAACCACCAAGTTAAACCTCAAACAACCTGTGATCATAGCAAACCAAGTGTTGAACCAGTGAAACATCAAAATAGGTTTAAAATATTCCACATAGCAATACAGAGAGGGCACAGATAACCTTTAAACACTCTCTCTGTCCTCTTCACAGTATTAATGCTGTACTTGAATGACTGCTGAGTCCAGAACTATAGTCTAATGCGCTGCTGCTTTTAAATCAAAGCTTAGAAAGAATATTTTTATTCATGTATGTCTGGTTGAATTGAAGAACCCTTAGCATGATATTCTTACCACTGGTTTGATATCTATAAGCTATACAACACAGTTGCTTTTGTTATACCTAATGACTGTTGATGCTTATGTATGTACTTGTATAAAAGAGAAACCCAGAGTTACAATATGTAGTTATTTTTCTTTGAAAGAAACAAAAGTGCTGAAATAAATTTAAATGAACTCTTACGAAACATTTTCTTATCTTTTACCACTACAGTACAATCACATGAAAAGACATTGCCTTGTGACAGTCTTACTATTTCACTGGTTCTCACTGCTAGATCTTCCAGAGGACATCAGATCACATAGGAAGATCTTTTACAGTTGCTCTATTTATCATTAAACAATTAATTAGCATCTGTCTAACATTCTATGAAGTAATAATCTAACTGCGATTAGAAAAGTAGAAAAAAATAAAACTGCATGCACTCTCTGGGTTTCCATAGTTTCTAAACAGGGCGCATTCCTGTTTTTCTGCTCAGAAAGTGAGTTAAGTTTCATTTCTCAAGAAAGAAACGTAAATGTGTCGTGTCACAAGTTACTGTAAATATTGTGACTTATAACAGGGTCATTCTCAAAACAAACAAAAAAAAATCTGACATACAAAACATTGAAGTTTTGCATTCAGTTATTTTTTTTTATTCAAGATAATTACTTCAAGTCAGATTTAAAATCAACAAATGTTTTGTTTATTTTTAAATGAAAATCTTACACATTTGCACAAACGTTAAACAATAACACGTGACAAGTTTAAACCATAAAAATAAATAAATGTAAAATATTAACTTTTTCAACACAGCGGGCACAAAAGGAAAACAAAATGTAACTGTAAATGCAATAGAAGTGGTGTACCAGATGAAGAGAGAAAGGAATTTTCGGGAACTTAACATTCAAATAGTTAGAAAAAAAGAGAAAGCTAAACAATGTAGGTTCAGATTATTTCATATTATTTTATAAACTTATGTCTTATGCCTTTACATGAAGTTCCTTGACTATTTTTATATAACTCAAAGGACAAAGGACAGGTTTGTCAGGATACTTTGAGAATGGCCCAGCAATTCTTTGCGCAGTTCAGCAAACCGGGCTTGGCAGGTTTGGTTTGATTCCAATAGGTTTCAGACAATAGAGATCTTCTAGACAAACTCCATATATGGTATGTTCAGGTATAGGTTATGACTATATAAGCCCAAAATGAAATAAAAAGCAACACATGGAGAAAACATCTTTGTGAAAGTGTGGCGTGGTATTTGTATTACAGGGAAAAGACTGGGTAAGAATAATCTTGTGTTTAAGTAACAGATTTTTAAAGATAAAGCATTGATTTCATGATGAAGCTATGGAAAATGCTTTGTAAATATATCTTAGTATGTGTTCACTGTAGATTTATAGAGTGAATACAGTAAAGTGGGATTCTTAATGTAACGTTAACTTCATCAAATCATTATATTTTTTCATTAGTAAAATGTGTGTGGGATGATACTGATGTATATTTTCGGAACATAGGCTAAATGACATTATCAAAAAGTGTCCCACTTCATCTGTATTTGTCTTTCATTTTTAGATCATCAATTTTTATATTTAGCCTACTACATATTATATTTCATATTTAATGTTTATGGGTGTAATGGTACACGTAGGCCTATTCTTACCAAAAATTCTCGTTTCGGTCTTTCGGTTCGGTACGTGTACCTTTCGGTAAGTGTTGTTTTAACTGCATGTGCAGAACTTAATTTGAAACTTCAATTTTCTAACTTAATTTTAACAAATCGATATCGATTCTTAAATCGCGAGATCGATCTTTAAGTCTATGTTGTTTCAGGTGATGCGTGAAATGAATCTAGCATGCCTCCCGTCCATTATCGCAAGAAGCTATGTGTTTTGTTACTTTCGTCCCCCTAGTGTCAGTAAAAGTGAATTATTTTTTCACAGGTCCAACAAGATACAGATTTCATTTTTTTTTTAAAGACAGTTTTGTGACTTTACAACAAATAGCCTACCGCTGTCGACCTACAATTAGCTGCAATGACTTCCCGAAAACACATGCAGTTCTGTTTGGAGCCAATGGGAGATAAATCTGCACAGAATCTTCCTGGAATTGGTCGTGTGCTGGGCGGGCGACTGCAGGCCAGTGGTATAAGGCATGCACGGGACATCGAGGGCCATTTCCTGGTCTTCAACCAGAACCAGGAGAGGTTTGGGAGCTGGCTTAGAGACACATGTGGGGCAAATGCTAAGCAGCAGAGGGACTGTTACAATTGTCTGAGAGAATGGACAAAAAATCATTTGTAAAGAGAAAGGGATTGGTTGCATCTATATCATCTGTGATATTCATCTAGATTTCTTTTCTTCTCTTGAATATCTAATTCTGAAAATGGGGTCTTATAAACGTGTATGTCTGCACTTACTTCAATTCATCTTATTTCAGATTTTGGGTGAATAACAACTACAAATAATCGCTTATCAATCCCCAGATGGGAAACTTTACAAACGATGTTTACTTGAAAAATGTTCATTCTGTAAATTCTTATCATGCTGGGCAAGTGTTCTGTTTTCTGTTTCATCTAGATTCATCTAGATTTATTTTCTTCTCTTGAACATCTAAGAAAAAAAAAACAAATAAATCTTTAGTCTCTCACTGTCTCTCTGGTCACTGAGAATTTAATTAGTGCCTTTAAATCCCAATCCTGCAATGTAGAAATGGCTTTTGTTTTTGTTCAGAACAAGAGAATACAGCTTTTTTAAGGTCACAGGAATGTGTAACTGTTACCCTGGTTACCTGAGAAGGGGAATAAGAAGCTGCATCCTGGATTGACGCTATGGTAAACACCATTAGGAGTGAACAGTGTCTGAAGCATGTGTGCAAACATGACAATTCTGTCCGAGGACAATCTATAATGAGTATAAGAGGGCACCTGCAATGCACGTCATCATATTCTTTGTCTGAGGGAGACTTGCAGGCTGACCCAAAGCATGGCAATGAGATTGTATATGAAAGTGAATGTGACAGTGAAAGTGACGTGATGTGTCCCATACTCGGAATTGAGGAACCCTTAGCATGACATTCTTACCACTGGTTTATAAGCTATACAACACAGTTGCTTTGTTTATACCTGACCGTTGATGTTTATGTATGTACCTATATAAAAGAGAAACCCAGAGCTGCAATATGTAGTTTTTTTTTTTATGTGCGTGACAGCCTTACTGTGATTCACTGCTACTGTAGATCTTCCAGAGGACATCTGATCACATAGGCAGATCTCTTACAGTTGCTCTATTTATCCAAATATGTAATAAGCATCTGCCTAACATTATATGAAGTAATGATCTAACTGCACGTAGAGATAATGATTGAACA